CTGTCGCAATGTAATCTATTAAGTCGAGTGCAACGAGCTGCACTCTTCCCAATATTGGAGAAGAGCTGCAGCCGGGATAGAAAAAGGCTGGGTTGAGAATGGGGCGGATCGAAGGGGAGAAATGGAGGGAACGACGAAGAATGCAAAAGGGAGCAAAGCGTCGATGATGGTCGATGGTAAAAATGCCTCCTAGCTTTTATCAGCCGGGCGCAGGCATAATTTAAGTGGGAGATTATTAAACGTGAGGTTGCGCGCAAAAAGATCCCGCGGGAGATTATTAAAAGTGAAACGCCATTAACGAAAATAGGAGCCCCCTGGATTTAGGTGCAAATTTAATATGCTTGCAATGTCTTCATTAATAGGATTCCCTCTTAAAGTTAAAGATGCGATTACTGAGTTATAGCGGTTAATCGCATGCCCGTTCACCGCTCTCTCTTTATCCAATCATTTATCTTATCGCAACCATATAATTAATTAGCATTATTATAATATGTTTTATTCGCAAATTAAAAAGAATTAATTTTTGCAGCTTTGCTTTAGCCGGAATGCATTTTTATTATTTAAAAAAAAAAAAAAAACCACACACATTTTTAAAGATGTATATATTGAATTATATTTAAGGAATTGACTTCTATCGCTTTAACTTGCAATAAATTTCATCTGCCAGCTTATTTCAGCTTATTTTTTCCGTGTGTCAGATACAGAACGTTCTAGTAATTGGATGTAATCGAGCGCATTTGAAAGCTTATCGAACGTTCAAACCGTTAACGGTGCTAGATTCGCAAAAAACGCAGTTACGAATTCATAAAATGTTACGCATCGTATCGTGCGCGAAGCGATCTCGCACGTTTTAAAATTTGCTCGCATCGAGGACCCGTATTTTTGCGCGCAACGCACGATTCACGCACGCCATAAATGGTGTGTAACACAGTTCTCACAATTCGCCGAGAAATCAATGTGCGCGCCCGTAAAACGATCGAAAAAACTTTCCTTTCCCAACAGACAATCGCGGAATTCCGAAATTGTTGACAAATGAAAGAGATAGGAGCAATATGCGGTCGGTTATTCTATGCAGCATTCGTGTATCTGGAGTAAAATTCGGATTTCATAATTAAGAGATTCCAACAGCAATTTTAAATGTGTTTAAATTAAAACAAAATTCCATGTTAAAAATTACAGACTAATTTATATAGATATTTATAAAGTAAGAGAAATTTCTAAATTTTTATGTTATATGCGCGCTTCGCAATTTATTATTTAATGATATATATGAAAAGCTTATCTTTTTTTTGTCGCTCTCTGATTTATTTCTTTCTTACAATCAATCTTATATTGTGTACATCAATCAGAAGAAACGGAACAAGGTACGCGAATTATCTGCCACTCAAAAATTGTTGCCGGTCGTGGGCAAGATAATCATCAATTCTTCGGGGCGAGATTCGTCATTTCTTAGATTACGGGTAAAGAAAAATGAGATTTACGCTTGATCTCTGCTCGAGTTTTCTCATTACCGTTTTCCCCCGAAACCGCTTCGTAAACTCGCGCGGTTTCTCTTCCCGAGTGCCTGTAATGTACTGTAACTCGCGTGGAGGGACAGAGAGATATATTGTTAAGCCGGAAACGGGGGAATGCCGACCATTGTTGTTGGGCAACGTTTGTGCAAAACGTTATGCGATACTGGCTGATGAAGTAAGAAGAGATTGGGCACATCAACGGGGTAGCCTGGCCTAATAGTGCACCTCTCGCTATCTGTGTCCTTTGTTGCGGCGTCTTAGTCTAATGACGCGGCATTATCTGGCATTCTCGGGACGCGCATTCAGATACAGAAAAATTCCTTGATGGAAATTCGATATGAGAGCGAAACAGAAAATCCCGGATAACGCGCATGAATGCGATATTTATAAGCAGCGCGCAATTTTCTTATGGACGTAACAGTATCTCCGGTTTGGATACTTGCCGATGCACATTCGACTATCTCGTCCACATTTTATAAAATCAACGAAGGATACGGTTTGGATACGCTTCCGATGCGCTTGCATTTCGTTTATTTTTGTTTTGGATATTCGCGTTTTCATTTCTAGAAAAGGATTAAAGAAAGGTAGTGCGCGTTTACGTTTGTTGCGTGTTGAAGTTACATTTTTTGCTTGAAACAATTTTTTTATACAACCGAAAACATTTCAGCGACCCCGGGAAAGAGCATCGGCCAAATGTGTCAATATGAATTTACGCATATACAATATTAATACGTATTAGCTGCTTTTTACTATCTGCCGTATCTACCAACCGCCCTTTATCCAGCAAGTCTGAATCACTGTTATAATGCGAATGTTAAAAGAGCAAAATAGGACGGCTACGAATCTGCCATGAAAAAAATTTATCGATAAGCACGAAATCCGATTATCAGCGTGAAAACAAACATTTAATAAAAGCATTCCAGCACGGACGGCGGGTTTTGTAATAACGCACGAACATACTCCGCTTCTATTTTGACATTGCGTTCTCTGTCTTCCCTTTAATTACTGCAATCTCGTTACAGTTTACATAACGTGTTGGTATTATCTGTTATTACACGAGATATCTGTTAAATTCTATGAAATTTTGGCAATATTAAATATGTTGTATAATTATGACAAAAATACTCGAAAATTTTTACAGCTTTGAAAATTTTGTGGATCTGACTGTGCCGTGCCATCGAAAACATTCAGAGATATTTATGAGATATTCACGATGGTTTATGTCCTAGAGTAAAGAGCAATATTTGGTTTCCAGTCTTCGGCCTGCTTTTCACGGAAAATAATAATTTATGTCTCGGTAATTTACGAGCAACACGGTACTCTACAGATTTTCCAGATTAACGGTGGCTCGTCCGGTTATAAATAAAACCTTAAGCACAGGTTTTCCTACCTTTCCTTTTTCCGTTGTAAGGCACCGCCGAGTCTGTGTAATCATCCATTGTGGACATTCGTAGGAGAGAAAGGAGTGCAGCATTCAAAAACAAAACGGATCTCGCCGCTCTCGAGATTTCTAATTGTGCCCGTTTATGAAATACTCGAGCGTTGTAAACATTTGCCGCGCAACATAGTCTCAAGAGTGCAGAGCTTAATGCGCGACCGGTGCCTGCGACTACTAACATCGGGCGCTTGTATAATTTACGAAACACACAATTCTCGTCCACGTATTTCTGTATTTCCTTTTTCAACTTTTACGGTTTATTTCTTAACTACAGCACGAGATGTCGATGTCTCTTTCAATCTATTTTGTGTCGAATTTTATCTTCGCGAATATAAAATATACTTCTCGAGTACATTTTTTTATCGCTAGTTTTATTTCTTGAAGCGCTTTTTTATATGTCGCGCGTTGATATTAGCACTAGTAGGGGAGACCGGGGCTCGTTGGCACAAGAGACAAGTTGGCAATGCGTTCCGTTTATGTATTTATAGCTAAAGAAATAATGGAAAAGTTATCACAAAACATCTTTTTTATGATATACAGGTGCTTTCCCCAAAGTTTTATTTAAATCAAACAAGTATTACAATAGAAAAAGAGAAAACTCTAATTTAAGAGATGGCAAATAAATTTTTGAGCGTTTCAAAATATCGTATTAATGCTCTTCAGCTTGAGAAGTAAATCAAAGTGACGTATTATTTGTTAAAAGAAAAGTTTCTATTACTATACGACATGTCATTTTGAGGAACAACAGTAATTTATTGTAAGAAAATGACTGAAATCAAACGTATGTAGGGATGGGGTATGTTGGCTCATATCAAGGCATGATTAGCTTGATTTGTTGTTACCGCGCACGTGAGACCTGTGTGAGCATGTGATTTGCTACCTACAATGCTGATAGAAGCTAGATATATATTTATATTAATATTTTTATATTGAAGAAAGCTATATCTAAAATAGTTTACAATTGTTCTTCTGCAACAGCATTTTGCTATTCGATTATTACGAAATAACTTTAAAAGATATAATCTTTATCAAGAAGTACATATCTGTTACCCGTTTTGTGTTTCTATTATGTTTTCATTAATTGAACATGGACATTTTGTCACATAGCCAACTTACCCTACTACCGGGGCAAGTTGGCTGCGATGCAGCATGTTCGTATTTTACTTACAAAGAAATTATACAGTATACATGAGCGTTCCTGGCATGAAAATGTAGAGAAAAGTTCTCTCTACTATATTAGTACTGTTTAAACATGAAAATTAGTTGTTTACAAACTCAAATGCCGAAAATGTGAAAACGGTGTCAACGAGCCCCGGTCTCCCCTACAGTTCCTTGCAAACTTGTTTTCCTCGCTAGTCGTTTTAAATTCCACCAATACTATCACAGGGACCTTTTCCATGTGCTGTGGTAAAAAAGTGCCATTCTGCCGTGATACCAAAAAAATCACGCGCATATAGTAAAGCAAATTATTCAAATTGTATTTATTTTTATAATGTTGGCTGGCTCCATCTGTAAAATAAACAATAATCAGGCTTCGATTTACACTACTATATTATTATAAAATGAACGATAAAGTTCGTCATTATTACAGTTTTATAGTCATCATTTCAGACAATCTTACAACACCAGTAGGTAGCAGTGTACGTTTTTCAACAATTATTAATAAAAGAACTTAAAACAAAAGGGTATTCCTGTTAAAAAATTCTCTATTTTAGGAGCTTTTTCGTCAACTTTGTCAAGGCGACATTGATTATTCACTTGTACCTTAAGATATTTTAGTTTATTATACTGTTATATTTAATTGATTTTATTATAATAACGCCAATTCTTACATTATCACCATATAATCAGTTATAAGAAAATAAATCTTATTATATTGTTATTATTGAGCGTGTTATATATTTAGGTTCAAAAAATTTTATGCAACACGTGCATGGAAAGCACGCTACGCGTGCGTGATAGACCACTTTCCAGGCACTTGCAACATAAAATAAAGTGTGTAAGCCGTGCGTAAAGATGAAAATTCCCGGGTGCAGAGTTTACGCATCCGGGAATTTTCATCTTACGGCACTTGTTACACAAATAACTATATACAATTTTTACATTTCTAATCCTATTGTCTCTCTTGACATTCTACCTACTGTTACAGAGAAAATGTGCTAAATCATTAATTTTTTTGTTTGAGACATACTTAGAGAGTACTTTCTTGTTTAAGATAAGTATTAACACGTTACTTTCTTGCAAAATAAATTTTCCAACAAAGTACTGCATAGGTGATTATGTGTAAACAGAGTATCCAAGAGCTAAGTACTATCAGAATAACGTAAAATGGTATTGTTGGCATGTCCATCATCGAGAGAATCTTGTTTGGCGAACTGAAGAAACAGTAGATTTCCGAGCACGACAGCTGCGATCGATTAAGATAAACCGCCTGCATCATTCCTTCGAATGAGTATCTACAATAAAATTTACATTTTTCAAATTTACTGAAAAAATTAAGGCAAATTGGAAATACAATAAAATAGTGTTTCTACAAATAGGAAGCAAAAACAACTGTTTATAAATAGTCATTATAAATTATTATAAAAAACGGTTCATATGGAAAACATTATGTAGTAATAATAAGTTTAAATGCAAAAAATTTTTAATATTAGTAATCGTTATGGTATAATTCAATTGTCTGTACCTGTAAAAACTCACAGTGCTTAAAGGCTGTAAGTATGCCGGTATGTCTTTAAATTTCAAGAAAAATCCGGCGAACAGCGCTAATGGTGTACTGACTGCCGGTATTAAAAAGAGACCTGACTGATAGAAATTATACTTGGTCAGCTACATAAAATTATCTGTTCATACATATTAAATAACAATCAAATTGAAATTTGAATGGTATAAGCTGCTCAATATATATATATATATATATATATATAAACTGCAAAATTATGTATTATTATAAATAAATCATCTAATGATTTATTAACTTATTACTATTACAAATAATTATAGCTGTGATATTTTTCAATATATATTGTAATAAGTATGTAATGTTGACTTATTATAGCCTTTTTTGTAGCTTTTCTAATAAAATATACCGCAGCTGAAATACCTTAGTGCCAAAAGCTGCGCCTATAAGTATCCCAGCCGTTTGTCCAAAAATTGTAGTTAACAGGCCAACGGTCCACATCTGTAGAATTCTAATATATTCCATTGGCTGTCCTGTCATATAATATGGTATAAACAAAAAAGATGAGGCGCAAAGTATCTAGAAATTAGACACATTTTTAATTGATTTCAAAACCAATGACAATATATTTAGGTGATATTTAGCCAGAACTTCATGTCTGAAAGAAATAATTAGTAATAATTAGTAATAATACAAATAATACTGCACTAAAACATACTTGTAGCGGGAGATCCGTTAGTATTTTTACGCTATAGTAAGCCCTCAAAGAATACCAGTTATTTAAATATTCCTGCAGAAATACTGTCGCTTCTGTAGGAACTACAATCAGATTAACATATGGTATAAATATTTGTGAAAATCATAAAACGCATTTATTATAATTTTAACACGGAAAATTGAAAATATTGTCAAAGAAATTGATTTTATATTTTTTATTCTTTTAGCATTAAAACAAAATCAATTATTTATTACTCGACTACCTGGCTTAAATTATATATAAGTGCTCGCATAACATCGCTTATCGGAGAGTCTCAAACTCAAGATGCTTGTTGGTTTATATTCAAGACACGTAAGAATTGTTCGTCACATCTCTTTCTCTGTATATCGGTTTTATATGAGTGATTTCCCGTAGTTTGCGCTTTGTGATAATGCTGGGACATTCCCATGAACGAAAGGAGGTCTTGACTAATATATGACGAGTCTTATTGACGATTAGGTAACGCTCTCTGTTTTTATGACTAATTTCCAATTTATATATTTTTTATTGTGTTACATCGCGATGTTCATATTTCAGACGGCATTTGATAAGGGCTCTAACCGTGAGCCGAAACGTTGTGCACTTATATATAATTTAAGCCAGGTAGTCGAGTAATAAATAATTGATTTTGTTTTAATCACTGGCGGATTAAGTTTTCTTTATATTTTTAGCATTAAGTTTAGCATTATCAAAAAGATAGTAATAGTATAGTACTTATAT